GATTTTCTCTTTCTTCTTTTTAGATCTGAAAATATTTTTTCCTACATTCGGGTTTCATCTCGTAGAAAATTATAGAATTTGTTTCAAACGACCTTCCGGGCGATGATGTAAGTATTATTTATTTCAGTTGGTATCGACCAAATGACTAAAACACCACAATTAATAAACCAATCACATAATCCACTTGGACCATTTGAAGCAGCCTAATTAAATTAGTGCTGCTCATGGCCTAACCCAAACTTGGATGGCTTTTATTTATTGGCGGCCCACTTATTTCCTAACTCTAAAAGCCTATATCCAACCCTTATATATTTGTGCTCGTTACTGTTGCTAAGTGGTGTGAAATATTAATAGCCTTTGTTTGAGAGAAAAAGCGATGGTTTTGCTTTGTGCTCTCTGCGTTGCCTTGTGCTCACTGCATTGTGCTATTGTCTCTTCTCTTTTCTCTAGCCTTTGTGGCTGATCCCTGTGGCTATAAAATTCTTCATCTTGAGTCCTTTGTAGGCAGTTTTTGAGCAACCGGTTTGTGGGTGTGTGTTGGTTTGTGTTTTGGGTATTTAATTGTGGTGATTGATTCAACATACTAAGCCCGGATTTCGTGAAGATTGGAGCACCTTGTTCAACATTTGGTATCAGAGAGTTGGTTGGTGTGAAATTCGGTGAGAAATCGCGATTTTCAAAAGGAACCGAACCTGATGCTCTCGATTCCGGCCAAACTAGTGACCAACCGAAAAATCTGAGGCCATACTCGTGTTCTACAGACTGAGGCGATGTTGACAGTGTGGCATGTATGGCTTCGACAATGACGTGTGGGCGGCGTATGAAGGCTGTTCACGACTAGTTTTCTTCAGGCAGATTGCTTATTTTAATTTCTTGAACGTACTGATATTATTATTTTCTTGTTTCAGGTTACACGGGAAAGTTGGACGATTCTACCCTTTGCGAGTTGACGGTCGTAACTGCAATATATTTATTGAATTACTTTAGGCCATAAATTGCGGCCCTAAACAGTAAATTTTCATCTCTCGTAATTTACGGACTCAGACAGGTCCACTCTGGTAAATTGACTAATCTTGTTTAAATTTCATCATTAGCGCGTCATCGTGTGGGGGTGCCAATAGGATTGGGGTTACCGTGTGGGGTAACCATTGCCTGTGCCAGGAATTAGGAAACTTGCTCTTCGTTACTACGTGATTGAAATTTGTTCATTTGATAAATTGCATCATAATATCTTTTGTGATATATCGTGAGTAAAACTATTTAGTTGACATATCTCTTGTTGCACCGTTAAGTTATTAGAATACATAGCCCTTACCCGTTTGAAAATTCCCTTAATCTAAGACTGTGAATCTTACGAAACCCTGGAAATCTAAAACAGTGTATATTTGCGAACTTAGGTCAACTTTGTGTGGCTTAATTGTGACCTTATATTTTTTGATTGATTATTAAAAATGACAACGCACAATTTTGATTTGAGAACTTTTAACGAAAAAGCTAATTTTTCAATCTGGAAACAAAAAATGAGAGGTATTTTGGTTCAACAAAAGGTTTCAAAAGCCATTGATGACAATTTTCTCGCTAATTTTTCAAAAGAACAAAAAGAAGAAGCTGATGAGCTTGCTTATTCCTCGATTATTTTACACTTGGCTGATGCAGTTTTGAGAAAAGTGGGTAAACTGAAAGCCACTAAAGAACTTTGGAAAAAATCAGAAGACATGTATTTACTCAAATCTACTCCAAATAAGCTTTACTCACTTGAGCATTTTTTCAGTTTCAAAATGGATTCTTCAAAAGATCTTGATGACAATTTAGACGTGTTTAACAAACTTGTTCAGGATATTATTAATTGTGGAGAGTCAATGTTTGAAACTTATAAGGCTACTATTTTGATGAATGATATACCCGATACTTATAAGTAAAAAATGTTATTAAGTATGGTAGATATACTTTGACGTTCGAAATTGTCGTTGACTTTTTTAGAAGTAATGAGATGGAGATTACAGCTAAAAAATATGATAGGAAAAGCGGTGAGATTCA